CCTCAACCCCCTTACCACCCCACCTCTCAGTCTTTTCCTGTCTTCCCTTTTTTTTTTTCCTCTGGCATTAGTAGCAAAATGCATCTCGCTCCCCGTTTCCCCCGAGTCCCGTATCACTAGAGCGACAAGCTACGATTCAAACACAAATTTAAAGACAAAGGTGCGTCGTGCAATGCATTCATGTCTCGTGGAAGAGTTGTGCTTGATTTCTCGCCTGCATTCCGTGTGATTATTGAGAGCTCACGAAGACTAATCCTGCTGCCATGCGGCCCTCAAAGGTCTCGTTTTGTTCTGCGGGAGGAATCAGAATCCTGCCGTATTAACGTGAGGGGGATCTCTGAGCTAAAGCCGCTGTGTTCACGCATTCACTGCAACCAGCACTGTGGTTTGAGGATGAATCAAAAAGGAGGCTTTCACTATCTGCCCTCCGTTTTCCCACAATGACTGTTTAATTTATGCATACAGAAAGGTTGGGAGGGAGTTGGGCGAACAGGGGTCACAGGCGGAGTCAAGCTGAGCTCCACACTTCCTCCGAATGCTAATGTCTGGTGCTCCACTGGGATTATCGCCCATGGAAAATTCCCCCCAATTCCGTGTTATTAATCTCTGTCTGTCCTCCTATTCTGGCTACATAATGACTAATTAAACATCAAAAGAGCTGTGGTGGGGATGCGGCACGACAGCTCGTGTCTCTGAGCCCTTGTTCCCGCTGGAAAGGGGAGAAGAGGGGGGCGAGCGCTGGCGGGGCGGCCTCACAAATCAATCAACCATCGTTACCTCGCACCTACGCCCGCCGCGCTCCAAACGGTGGATCCGCAAACACAACAGAGCTGATTTGCGAGGCAGGTTTGGCCTCCTGTGTGCATGCGCTCGACATACACACAGGTATACGTTGCCACCGTGTCAGAGGACGACTTTGATAAGACTGAATTCAAAAACGCGTGTGCCGCCATACCAAAGGCTTTCAATAAACATGCCTGTTGCGTCTGTTTGTGCGCTAGCATCTATTTTTAAAGCAAAGTGATGGCAGGAAGATGAAATGATGCTGTACTCACAGATGTAGGCAGGCCAGGAGGGGGCTTGCGCACTTTCTTCGCTTGCTGAGGATCTGTGGAGAAAATACAAAAACAACTTTGAGACATTTGAGGGGAAAAAAAGAATAAATAGAGGCACTCAGTCAGACGTCTCTTTGATTACAGATTTACAAAGACAAATATGAGAGTGTTAGTGTGGCAGAAATCAAGGAATTCTTAAAGGGATAGTTCACCCAAAAATGAAAATGTTATGTTTATCTGCTTACCCCCAGGGCATCCAAGATGTAGGTGACTTTATTTCTTCAGTAGAACACAAACGAAGATTTTTAAGTCAAGCCGTTGCAGTCTGTCAGTCTTATAATGTAAGTGAATTGGAATCACGGCTTTGAGAGTAAAAAAACCTACACAAACAAAACCAAATTAAATCCTGCGGCTCGTGACGATACATTGATGTGTAAAGACACGAAACGATCGGTCTGTGCAAGAAACTGAACAGTATTTATATAGTTTTTTACCTCTGATTGACCGCAATGTCCGAACTGTCCAGAGCATCCTGAGCGCGTTCAACAGCCGGCACCTGACACATCTTCTTCTTCTTCACGGCGGATCGCAGACTTATAAGTGCATTACCGCCACCTATCTCTCAAATGGGCCATTGACACTCTATCTACAATCTCAATTAGGAGTGTCAATAGTCCACTTGAAAGATAGGTGGCGGTAATGCACTTATAAGTCTCAGGATGCGTTCTGGACAGTTCGGATATTGCGGTGAAAATCAGAGGTAAAAAACTATATAAATACTGTTCAGTTTCTTGCACAGACCGATCGTTTTGTGTCTTTACACATCAATGTATCGTCACGAGCCGCAGGGTTTAATTTGGTTTTGTTTGTGTATGTTTTTTGACTCTCAAAGCCGTGATTCCCATCCACTTCCATTATAAGACTGACCGACTGCAACGGTTTGACTTAAAAATCTTTGTTTGTGTTCTACTGAAGAAACAAAGTCACCTACATCTTGGATGCCCTGGGGGTAAGCAGATAAACATAAAATTTTCATTTTTGGGTGAACTATCCCTTTAAGAATTCCTTGATTTCTGCCACACTAACACTCTCATATTTGTCTTTGTAAATCTGTAATCAAAGAGACGTCTGACTGAGTGCCTCTATTTATTCTTTTTTTCCCCTCAAATGTCTCAAAGTTGTTTTTGTATTTTCTCCACAGATCCTCAGCAAGCGAAGAAAGTGCGCAAGCCCCCTCCTGGCCTGCCTACATCTGTGAGTACAGCATCATTTCATCTTCCTGCCATCACTTTGCTTTAAAAATAGATGCTAGCGCACAAACAGACGCAACAGGCATGTTTATTGAAAGCCTTTGGTATGGCGGCACACGCGTTTTTGAATTCAGTCTTATCAAAGTCGTCCTCTGACACGGTGGCAACGTATACCTGTGTGTATGTCGAGCGCATGCACACAGGAGGCCAAACCTGCCTCGCAAATCAGCTCTGTTGTGTTTGCGGATCCACCGTTTGGAGCGCGGCGGGCGTAGGTGCGAGGTAACGATGGTTGATTGATTTGTGAGGCCGCCCCGCCAGCGCTCGCCCCCCTCTTCTCCCCTTTCCAGCGGGAACAAGGGCTCAGAGACACGAGCTGTCGTGCCGCATCCCCACCACAGCTCTTTTGATGTTTAATTAGTCATTATGTAGCCAGAATAGGAGGACAGACAGAGATTAATAACACGGAATTGGGGGGAATTTTCCATGGGCGATAATCCCAGTGGAGCACCAGACATTAGCATTCGGAGGAAGTGTGGAGCTCAGCTTGACTCCGCCTGTGACCCCTGTTCGCCCAACTCCCTCCCAACCTTTCTGTATGCATAAATTAAACAGTCATTGTGGGAAAACGGAGGGCAGATAGTGAAAGCCTCCTTTTTGATTCATCCTCAAACCACAGTGCTGGTTGCAGTGAATGCGTGAACACAGCGGCTTTAGCTCAGAGATCCCCCTCACGTTAATACGGCAGGATTCTGATTCCTCCCGCAGAACAAAACGAGACCTTTGAGGGCCGCATGGCAGCAGGATTAGTCTTCGTGAGCTCTCAATAATCACACGGAATGCAGGCGAGAAATCAAGCACAACTCTTCCACGAGACATGAATGCATTGCACGACGCACCTTTGTCTTTAAATTTGTGTTTGAATCGTAGCTTGTCGCTCTAGTGATACGGGACTCGGGGGAAACGGGGAGCGAGATGCATTTTGCTACTAATGCCAGAGGAAAAAAAAAAAGGGAAGACAGGAAAAGACTGAGAGGTGGGGTGGTAAGGGGGTTGAGGAGAGATTGTTGGGCTCGTGGGGTACATCTCTTTGTTGTGTAAATGGACATAGGGCTTTTATTTGTCACTACTTAACACATGGCCGCAGGTGCACTTGTGTGATTCATAACTCAAAGCAGCTCAATTCAGCGCAGGGTAGAGCAGTGACATGCACGCTGGGAATATAGAACTTTGCTCTTGTAAAAAGGCTGGATTCTCATCGAAATCCCACTCACAACAGATTAGAGTGTTTGTATCGAAGTTTCCATCAAAGTTTCGAATATATGGAAAAAAATCTGAAAATTGCTCAAATAATTTGTGAATAAAACCGCTTTTCCATTCCATGTGTTCAAGAGCACAAAATTGTCACTTTTTGTGAAACTTGCCTCAAAATAGAAATGTAAATTGTAGCTACTGCGGAAACCGCTAGGGCTGTTTGATTAACAGGACAGTTCACCCAAAAATGAAAATGAAAAGTCATAATTTACTTATCCTTGCGCTGTTCTAATTCCATATGCCCTTCTTTTTTTTTAGGGCCACAAAAGGACAATTTCAAAAAATGTCCCCTCGTGCACAAAAGTATCACAGAATGGTCCCATGTGATACGTGTCGTATATTCCAAGGGTCTTGGGTCTTTACGATAGGATTTGGTGAAAAACTAACCAAAAGTGAATGTATTATTTAATGAAAATCCTGATCTTGGCTGTTCATTACTGTGCATAACTGCATGTTCATGATACTCTATTAACACCGCAATTCACTCCAAAAAACTTGACACAAAATAGAATCCATGTTCTCTCTTCTCAGAGGTGAATATATATGTTGTGTTCATCGCAGCAACAAGTTATCACATTTATCTTATTCTGACTGTCATGACAACTGGACTTCCAGTCCGGAGATATTTAACTCATTGAAGAAAGTACATAGATACTTTTTTGGGGAGATTTTCTAGGCGTTGTATTTTATGTCGTGTTTTTATTCATCTTGATTTCTCACAACTTGTGTGCTTTTCCTGGTTTAGTCTGAGTGAACTACTGTGCTAATTGTTACAATCGGCTCAACAATTGCAACGTGAATGAGAGCCAACACGGACCGGCAAGTAGAGAAAGAAATGGTTTAATCAACAAAACATAATTAACAAATGTATACAAACAATCAATAATCAAAAATCAACATTAATGGAAATCAGTAACGAAAGCATGCATGGCAAAGAACTGTAAACATTTAAAAGTCTCAACTGAATATGAACAAAATAAACATAATAAACATAACAAACAAAACAGCAGCCCGTTGCTATACAATAGCTAGTTGCTATTTACTGCCATTATATGGACAAGCATCAGCGGGACTCTTTTTACATTTCCGCTTTTGTGGTCTGAAAACAAAAGATGGGCATATAGCATTAGAACATTAGAGTAAATGATGACTTAATTTTTATTTTTGTGTGAACTGTCCCTCTAAACGTAATAAATGCATTGTGAATTACAGCTACAAAACATTTATATAATTTTTACAAGTTTTTTAAAGTCAAGAATTTTGTAAACTGAAAAAACACATTATTTGTTAGCAATCATTGACAGATGCCTTATGACTGAAGGCCAAAGTATCCTTCAATTTTGAAAGTGATGGCAGGAAGATGAAATGATGCTGTACTCACAGATGTAGGCAGGCCAGGAGGGGGCTTGCGCACTTTCTTCGCTTGCTGAGGATCTGTGGAGAAAATACAAAAACAACTTTGAGACATTTGAGGGGAAAAAAAGAATAAATAGAGGCACTCAGTCAGACGTCTCTTTGATTACAGATTTACAAAGACAAATATGAGAGTGTTAGTGTGGCAGAAATCAAGGAATTCTTAAAGGGATAGTTCACCCAAAAATGAAAATGTTATGTTTATCTGCTTACCCCCAGGGCATCCAAGATGTAGGTGACTTTATTTCTTCAGTAGAACACAAACGAAGATTTTTAAGTCAAGCCGTTGCAGTCTGTCAGTCTTATAATGTAAGTGAATTGGAATCACGGCTTTGAGAGTCAAAAAACCTACACAAACAAAACCAAATTAAATCCTGCGGCTCGTGACGATACATTGATGTGTAAAGACACGAAACGATCGGTCTGTGCAAGAAACTGAACAGTATTTATATAGTTTTTTACCTCTGATTGACCGCAATGTCCGAACTGTCCAGAGCATCCTGAGCGCGTTCAACAGCGGGCACCTGACACATCTTCTTCTTCTTCACGGCGGATCGCAGACTTATAAGTGCATTACCGCCACCTATCTCTCAAATGGGCCATTGACACTCTATCTACAATCTCAATTAGGAGTGTCAATAGTCCACTTGAAAGATAGGTGGCGGTAATGCACTTATAAGTCTCAGGATGCGTTCTGGACAGTTCGGATATTGCGGTGAAAATCAGAGGTAAAAAACTATATAAATACTGTTCAGTTTCTTGCACAGACCGATCGTTTTGTGTCTTTACACATCAATGTTTCGTCACGAGCCGCAGGGTTTAATTTGGTTTTGTTTGTGTATGTTTTTTGACTCTCAAAGCCGTGATTCCCATCCACTTCCATTATAAGACTGACCGACTGCAACGGTTTGACTTAAAAATCTTTGTTTGTGTTCTACTGAAGAAACAAAGTCACCTACATCTTGGATGCCCTGGGGGTAAGCAGATAAACATAA